ATGGGTCAGCGAGTATTCGTTCGCGCGTATTTCGAAATCATTGTTACGTGAAATGAACAGCTGCGCAAGCTACCTGCACTCTATCCCACTCCTTTTCTCTACCCTTCCTGCCTATACCAACGAGGATTCGATTCGGGAGCATCGGCTTTTTCATCTTTCACCTCTTCCTAGGGGCCTTTCTGCTTTAACACCCGAAACACTTCGTTCTATAATAGTTTCAAGGACTACTCTGTGACAAATTATTTCGCGTCGAAGGTTTGGTCGATTCTTTGAGTACAAAGAGAGAGATTTGCAAGGTAAGAAGGGTTTTTAAGATTCTAAAATATAGACAGTCAAAGTTTCATTTCACTTTTGCTATTCTGAACGAGCTCGCATCCCCCGAAATCGTCACACTTTTCTTTCACTTAAAATGAAACCCCGTTAATACTCAAAAATCTCATTTTACCAGCGAAACCTCCAGTCCAGTTGCCGCACACGTCGCAAAAGCCCCGCACAACGTGAAATTTTCCACAAAGAACCATCTGATCCTCGCTAAATCTGTTCTTTCCTTTGTGCAGCGATTAAAATGAAACGCGTTGACACCCAAAATTCTCGTTTTATCACTAAAACCGAGAGTCCAGTTGCCACACAAATTACAAAGCCATGCACAACGTGATACTTTTCACAAAGAACCACCGCAGAATCGTCTGGCAGCCGTTCCATTCGTCAGAATCGAACGACGAGAGAAACAATTAAGTCTGTCGCGCGCCCACTTCCACGATACATTTGCTATTCTAATGGTGCCGCCGCGCTGTTAAGTAGGCGATAGCCTTTGCATAATACGTCGATGTTAGCCTGACGTGGTACGTTCATGTGCTGCACTGTTAAATAGGCGACAGCCTTTAATCGTACAATCGAGTTACGGTTCTCGCGTTCAGGTGGTTCTAGGGTGAGGGACGCGAACCGAACGGGAGCAAACGGGGTGAAGAGGCGAGGAGTTTGAACGGGGCGACGTTTCCGCTTCCAGATTAGCCGCTTCCTCTTTGCGAGTTGCGTAATCGTATTTCCAAGTCTGAATACGAGCTTGTTATTTTTGGCCCTCGGGAAATAGGTCGGGGCTGAAATTATTAATTAATACAATTTGGATCTGAACTCCAACATTAATTAACCGTTATTTGTGATGTTTCTCGGTGGACGAGTCGCAGTTTCATTGGTTTAAATGAACGGGAAGAGCTCCGGAGGGGGTGGCGAACGCGAGGGTTGGTCGAGCGGGCGTTAGCGGAGGTGGGTGGTGGAGAGGAAGGGAGTAATTGCGTATTAACGCGGTAAATTGTTTTCCACATCCGGAGAGGCTCGAATCGAAAGCTTTGTCGAGGTGAAAACCACCGGCGAAGGGAGTGTAGGAGGAGAGAAGGTTGAAAAGCGAGCAACGCGAGAGAGGACTTTTACGCGGGAACTTTTCGCCTGGGCCTTCGATCGACCCTTCAGCCGCGTAATTGGTTTCCCCGAAAAATACAACGTTACCCGTGCGTCAATTCGATGCACGTTAATCAAATACAGGGACCAGCCGAGCCTGGCGTTGCTTGATGGGTTCCGCGCGTTTGTCGGAACGATTTCCAGAGGTAAATCCATCCCCGGCCACCGCCAACTCTTCACCGGCATTATTTTACTCCCATAAACTTGCCCCGGCGATTTTTTAACGCGAACGCTCGATTAACCCCTTAACAGTGCCGCGTCGCGTCTGCCGACCGAGTTTCACGGTGAAACCGATCTGTCAGAGTTAAACGTGCGTAGGGTTTGTGAACGGTTGTAGGAGAATATCTAACGAATGCGTGTAAAATGTACGGTTAATCGTAGTAGCGTTGTAGCAAGTGGCGAGAACGTTGAAAGGGGAGACTTGGTCACTTTTTAAACGCACGGTCAAAGGTTTCAGCTGGAAAACGGCGTAGCTTAATCGATCGATCTGAATACGTCTATTAATTAATCGCGATCGCGGAGAGAAGAAAGGAAGATAAAGAGAGGAGAGAAAAGGGGAAAGAATAGAGCGGCAGAATTTTTCCAGGGTAGCCAGAGCGACGCACACATCGATTAACCAACCGGAGACCGGAATCAGCCGGCGCAGTTCCGATCTCTCTGTTACTCCCGTTGGGAAAACGGCCGCAGGATTAACTGCGCGCAGGTGTAATTGAATTTTTCACGAGCCACGGCTAACTAATTATTTCTGACAAGGAATAACGAAACTACGGTGTGTCAACCTGTGTGCGCGCCGGGTCCAACTTTGATTCATTATTTCGCGGCTTCTACGGACGCAATCGTTGCTCGCGTCTACCCGTTGCACGTCGCGTGTACGCGTGCCATTGTTTTTCCATTCCATTATCGAGGTTGCTTTTTTCACCCTTCCGGGTTCCACCGAGAGAAAAATGTCTTTGTTCCGGATCGAACGCGAGAACGTAATCGATCTGTTCCCACAGGAACGCGCCTCTCTCTCTCTCCCTCTCCCTCTTTCCCCTTTTCAAACGACATGATCCCATCACGTATGCACTTTTAATTACGCGCTCATTAACGAAGGATTGAATCTGAAAACTTGCTACTCGGCGGCTGCATTTACGCTCGTCGCAAACCGCTGTTTATTTTTCCGCAGTTCGTCCGCGAACCGGCGCGCTATGATTAAAACTCTGATAACAATTCTCGTCCCGTGATTTCGATTAAATCCTCCTACTACTGCTCTCTAACTCTCTCTCTCTCTCTCTCTCTCTCTCTCTCGTTTGTCGAACCGCGTTCCAACCCGACGAGAATTTCTTTTTCTTTTTTTTCTCTCTGTGGCGAAAATTAATTCCTTCGCCTTAGACCGGTGTCCAGGTGCCCAGCGAAAGTATAATTAAAATCGTGCTTATTCCGAACGAATGTAACGGAACAAGTGGAAAGAATCTGCGTCGAGATGCGAGCTACGCTCGAAGGAGAGAAAGGAAATAGGAATAATTTTGTGGATGGGATCTTTGACGTTGACATTTCTATGATCGAAACGCACATCGTGCTGCGAATAAGTTTCGCAGGACAGAGAAAAAGGTGGGCGCAGAGGTGAAGATTCTATAAGCTACACGGTACACGTAGAATGTCTATAAATGTTTCAGACGCGCCCGAAACGAGACTTGTCGGTGTTCCTACCGGGCAACTGGAAGAGGGTCGAGATCAGCTGGAGATTCGATGTCTAGCCGACGCAAATCCGCCAGCTTCTATCCTCTGGAGGAGAACGAAGAGCCTCGGTGTGACAGAGGTGGCAGGAATAGGCGAGACTCTGCTGTTCTCGCCGATCTATAGAAATCACGCGGCAGTCTATATTTGCGAGGCAGCGAACACCGAGGGTGAAAGCAGCCCCGTGTCCGTTCAAGTGTCCGTCAACTGTAAGTGTCTCTTTTTCTCTCTCTCTGGCCTGGTTTCCACTACGGCCGATCGTCCTGAAAATATCCGCGATTAACCCTTTCACGCCCGAGACGGTCTACTAAACGGCCAATAAACTTTCTCTCTCTCTCTCTCTATCTCCGTGTCTCTCTCTGTCCGGTTAAAAATAGACGTGTATTTTCAATAGGCTTATTTGATAAAAATAACATCAAAGTTTTCTCTGCCACTCGGTTACGCCGCGAAATGATCGAGCCAGAGAGAGTGGAGAATTATCGATAAGCGGTGTACCGTGTGCTCTCAAGTTCTCTCAGTGAATAGTTTCGAAACGTTTACCGGATCAAAGTAGCTAAATAGTTGTTGGCTTTCAAAGCGTTTACGACAGTTCAAGCTTTTGTGTTAGGGTTTCGCGACTCTAATTGAGGATTAATAGGCGGGAGGAGGGAGGAAAGAAAGAGAGAAAAAAATAGATAAAAAGGATCTGTTAAACGGGGAGGGGGGATGATCTTTTCGCTGATCGGGCGTGTCAGCAGTTAATTCGCGTGAACGTGATTTGCATGGGTCGTGGAACGTTTATTCCCGATATTCACGAGCACAATCGATAGCGGAGGATCGTGTCTGGTTTTCATGTAGATCCGCCGACGATCAGCTCGGTCGGGCCAGATAGGCTGACTACGGCGTTGCTCTATTCCGGAACCTCGTTCGAGTGCACTGCCGACGCCATGCCACCGGCTGAATACAGGTGACCCATTCGTCAGCTGCTTGCAAGATCCGTTCGAATTGATTTTTTTTTTTTTTTTTGTAGAGAATGATTTATTAGTTGGATAGTTCGCATGGGAGCGTGTATGAAATCGCACATCTTTAGATCGTTCTTTTCACCTATACAGGGAGATCCGCGTCATTTATCCACCCCGAATAATTTCTGGAGTACGCGTTCTATCTCAGAGGGTGAATTTATCGTGTTTCTTAATTTTTTCGCGAATATCTACTCGCGATAAGCACTGTACAATCAATTCTGCGAGTATTGGGACAATTACCGAATGTGAGGCATAATGGAATCTAACGAAGTCTACTGAATTTTACTGAAATCTGATTATTCAACGTGAATCAAGCCTCGTGGTTGTTGCAAGTTTAGTATGAAATTATTTAGCACACAAAAGTCATTGGAAAATTACTACGATCCTGAAAAGAAGATTATTCACTTTAGACTCTCCAAGTATCACGAGTACACGTACATATTTTTCCTAAGATACGACGCTAACTTTGTGCAATTTCAATCGTGCAATACTTTCCACGCGAATATAACAGGTGTCCCAATGCTCACTAGCCCACTAACCACTAGAACGACAATAGCGATTGCATGCAGAGTGTAGCCGGCAACATGTTACGAACATCGAGAGAATCTATCGAAATGAAACGCGACGATGGCTTTTTCACCCTCCTGATACCAGGTGGGCGCAGATCTTCACCGATGGCCGGATGCCATTGGAATGTGGTACCGGGTATCGATTGATCCTGACGAACGTGACGTACGAGCAACAGGGTCAATACATATGTCTCGCCTCGAACAAGATCAACGGGAACGTCCGGGAAGTTAAAAGCGACCCTGTATCTCTGCAAGTGATCGGTGCGCCCAGGGTAAGACGCACACACACACACATACACAAATGTTACTACAGAAAAATCAAATTACCTTTTCGCCCTCTTCTCTCCCCTATACTGTACACTCTGTCCGCGAGAACGGTGTTGCCGAATAACGGAACGACCTGGAATATTGTCCGATCATTGGACAATTAGCCGGAAAAATCCTGTTCCAGCTTAAATCGAACGGAACGCAAATGGAGTAGAGTTAAAGTTTAATCCGTCGACAGGCGGAACGTTGAGAGAAACACGCGTGAAGCTAACCGGCTTTTACGCGTCGCGAACAGACAATCGCCTACCACTGAATACACACCCCTTTCCACGTCGGCAGGCCTGTGTATTTAAATATGAAATGAGAAATTCATATTTATCGTGTACAGAGAAAAATGGTAAAACAACAAATATATATATATACACGCTTAGGTGTACATGCACGGATAGAAATAAAACGTCATTTTCACGGCACACTCGTCGGTTGATTTGAAACACCGCACATTTGAAACAGCTACACTGTTTTCATTCGACGCTACATTCTCCGCGATCCATGATCCCGAGCACCACTTGTGGTCCCTGGATATTCCACGGAATTGACGCGAAATATTTTGCCGGTTCGCGGAAATGTTAGTTTAAAAATGTTGAGGAAAAACGCTGATCCCGGGGAAAAAAGGAGTGGAAAGAAGCGTTGTCAACGTTTCGCGCGAGCAACCGATGTAACGCCTAGTCTTTTCCGTTGAAAGAGACGCGTCGAACGTTTCGTTCTCGGTGAAAATTGTTTCGAAAGACAAATGAAGTCAACTGTTTCATTCTTTTATGCGATATATTGTACAAATACGTTCTTCAACCAGTGTCACCGATTCGTAGTCTCAGCTAGACGCGCACACAGCGCGTTCGACGAAGGATTCGTGGTATAGTCGGTGGAAGAAATACAGCGAGATCGTAAATTAACTCCAATTTTTTCATTTTTCATATTGCGTTAACCTTTCTATTACGGAAAAAACGCGAGTTACAGCATTATAAATAATGGGAAACACCTAAAAAATAATTAAGAAAACTAAAATTGATAAATTTGAGGAGTTAAAACCGTAGCAATTGAGCATTCTTCGTTTCTCTATCGGGACTGAATCAAAGCTTAGGCATACTTTATGCAGCCCTGAATGAGGTTTCGGGTTTCTTACCTTCCCTGCTTTCTGGATATGCTCTATCAGAGATTTAAATCACACAGTTCTCACTGTTCAGACTTTCGAGTGTAAGCCGCGTCCTTGTGGAATTAGCTTCCATATGGAAAATAATTCCATAATTCGCTTCCACCGACTATACCTCGACAGAGCCACGAGGTTAAAGTGTCCCAAAAGAGGAGGGCAGATAAGACAGGGACGGATAAGAAACGGTTGAAAGAACGGTGAAACGTGTGTCGTAGGTGGTGAAGCCGGCGTTCGCGGAGAAGTTAGTGGTGGCTACTACCGAGGGGAGCCCGGCGAAATTAGAGATCAGACTGTGCTCCAACCCGAAGCCCCGGCTGGTGGCCTGGGAATGGGGCAGCACCAGACTCCACGCCGGTTAGACTGCTTCTCCTAGCTCTACCGCCAAAAGTATTCGAGTCTTTGGTTTGCCCTTTCAGTTTTTTTTACGTACGTCTCTTCTCACTAATTGGCACTCCTTATTACCGTAAAAGTGGTACACTCGCGATTAATTAATTCGAGCATCCCTTTGCCCGCGAGCCTCCCCTTTAATTACCCGCCTTCTCTCCCGCGCCCTCTTACAAGCATTCCAGGCTCGAACTTCCGCGACGACCCTTCGATCCTTCCCGCTATTCATCCCCCTTTTCAACGATCGACGAACGTGTTTCGATCCTCTCCGATGACCGCCTTATCTTCAGACCTCCATCCACGAGTTTTCTTCGCGGCTTACACGGAAGGGTAGTCTGCTTACACGATTTTAACATCTTTCTTTCCTTCTCTTCTTTCTTATTTACGTTTCTCCCGGTTACAAGTTATTTCTTCCGTTTTTCTCCGTAGATTTGTGTAGTTTATTTCGAATAAGCAACGATAGAACGTTTCCAATTGCCCGGAAATACGATCGTAGTCGGATCTAACGAGCGTGGCAAAACGTTCGCAGGTGAGGTCCTGGAATCGCGGTATCGGGCGTTGGATCTCGAGCCGTTAGCTCTGGAGGATTGTTATATAGCTGTTTTAGAACTGACTAGCACGGTCAAGGAGGATCAGAGAGTGTACCATGTAATCGTGGAGAACGATCGTGGTAGCGATCGTCGTACCTTGATGCTTCGAGTCGACGAACCCGGCCAGGTAACTATAACACGACGTTCCTCGGCAAAAACCGAGGGCAACTCCATCGTACCCCCTTATCTTCTCTGTAAAACTAGCGGCCCAATGAAATAATCGAAGGAAGAGGGGGGGGCGGGGCAAGGGAGGGGACCGGTGGTATTTAATTAAAATGTCCGGAAGCATAAATATTCCGGGCATACGATACACCGGTAGAATGCTTGCCGCGTCGCCGGTAAAAAGCTTTTTTTTCCCTCCTCCCTGACGCGTATTTGTTACAGATTCCACTCGTTATCGGCGCTGTCGCTGGGTTTACGGTGCTCTCGGTGCTGGTAATGGGATTCGTTTGTTTCCTACGCTCGGATAGATGCTGCGTGGCCAGAAATACGGTGCCCGCGCTGCAGCAAGTGCATTGGTAAGCATGCGATATTGCGTCCCCCGGTGATTTGCACGAATAAACGTCGAAGCAATTTACATGGAAAACCGAGGGAACTCTTTTCAAGGGGGGACATATGCATGTGTACACATACAGAGGCACGAACCACGTACGCGCTAATGAATTATTCGACGCGGCTCTCTGTTCCGCTTTAATTGCTCGTATCGCGGACTCGATGCTAATTCCTTTTCCACTCGGCGATCCTAATAAAAACATCGATCTGAACAAGAGTCGATTCGTATAATTGGTGGAAATGTTCGGAATTAGGTCGGGAGGAATTTGTACGTCGTGGGAAATGAACGAAAACGGAGAATTCGCGGTCTGTTTTCAGTACAAAGGCGTCGAACACGATGATAGAGGATCCACGTTTAGCGGTGGACACGATGGAACGCGGTAGCCAGCAGTACGCGTCTGAGAAAAGACCGAATCACGTCCTGAAGCCTGTACCGTCGCAGCAATATCAGCAAGAGTGTTATCAACACGATCCACCGCACCAACAGCAACACTATCAGAGGCATCATCATCACCACGGCCAACCCCATGGACCACAGTACACGATTCAGGTCAGATAAGTTGTTAGACAGAGACGGGAAAAGAATGGAGAACTATTCCAGCGAAAGTACTTAAAATGCGACGACATCGCTAAGCGACGTCCCGCACAATTGTTTTAAAACCTCTTCCCCTCTTTTTCCAGCCCACCTTCCTCGGATCTCGAAACCTCTCGGTACATAGTTAAGCGCGAATGCACGAAACGATACAGCACAACTCTTCTTTACCCCCGGTTCACGCTTGTTTCGTATTTTTCGGGCGGTACGCTAAGTACAACTAAGTATAAGCTCCGATCCCCCGAGCGGGGCATTTTAATTTTCTCCACCGGCACCTAGTCAGAGTTTCCCTTTAATCTCCCGTACGCGTGATTTTTCTCGGGAAATTTCGGAAAAAGGACGACGAAGGAGTTCCCTTTGGATTTCTATGACGTGTTTGGCCTAGCAAAGGATACGCGTTAAGGGTGAAATTCCCTTCTTTCTTTTTACCTTCTTTCCCTCTTTTCATTAGAACTCCCGCCTGAAAGCTCGAGAAACGGCATTCGAGAGCAGAACGGCCGCACAGGAGGATTGAATTCGCGGCTCCGTTCCACTTGCTTACCCGTTTCCCCGTATCGTTCGCGTTCGATAGAGATTACACGCGGCGGCACGATCCTTTTTCACCCCTTCGAGAGTTTCAGAAACTTCCGGAAGAAATCAAAGACGCCGGTGTGTTTTATCGTTGATCCTGATTCACAAAGAGTTTCAAGAGTTTAGCATCCGTTAACGCCTTTCAGATATTTAGAGAGGAACCGTTTTGCAAGAGATTCCCTCCGTCGTTTGTATCCCTCTTCCTCCCAGCCTCGCGTGCGTGTCGCACTTTCGCCGTGAACACGAGAAAGCGTAGAACGAAGCACGCGTTCCAAAAGAGCGCTAGAACGAGCTCGAAACACGGACGAATGGTCAATTTTCACGCGATGAAAATTGAACGAAAGAACGTCCTCCTCTATAAAAATCCCTGCCCCTATTCGAAACGATAAGAATGTACATACCGCATTGCTATGCACGAGACGACACTTTGCAACGCTTTCGAGGGAAATTTCATCGTCACATGTATATATACGCACAGAAACACAGACTTTGTTGAAGAAGTACGTCTCCCCCCTGGAATTTATAGCGTTTAAATCACACACACACACGACACGATGACAATATAGCAAGTTGCACAAGTATTGACCAGCAAGCTCTAACCCCTGCCCTGATCGAGATAGTCATTTGAGTGATTTATGCGGTCGGTAGGGTGCATTACGCATGCATTTGGTCGCATCTAGCTGCTCCGGTGTCCCTTTCCCAATTACCGTTGCCCACCTTGTAGGTAATTTCATTTAGGTATACGTGTACGTAAGTAGAGGATGCAGCCACTTCTCCCTAGAACGCGATTACCATCTTCCAACCTTCCCGCTGTTTACCCTTTCCTCGTTAATTAACGGTAAACGATCGAATGGATTCATTCCTCGACATCTTCTGCATACACACACACACACAGTGTTTTAGTGTTCGGTGTAACAGGGTCCAGGTGAAATCTTCGAAATTACCTTCGGCTGGCAGAGAGAGAGAAAAGAAAAAAAGTGTAACATACTGGCTACAAAAAAGGAGGGGAAAGGATTTCTAATCGAATTTTACTCGAGCCACGAATCACTTTGACGATATAAATCTGACCCAGTTTCACGGAACATCCTGTGTAGAGATGTATGGCAGGTAAATCAAGTATCATAGAGAGGATGACTCCGTTACTTTCGACCGAAAATTCATCGTCGAGAGAGAGAGTGAGAGAATGTGACTGTATCGAGAGAGGAAAAAAAGAAAAAAAGAAGAGGATTTTTGGTCCTCTTGGCTTGCATCTCTTTGCTTTCGCTCCGCACTTTGCATCCAAACAGGACCGTTTCCGGTATTCCCACGCGCGCGTTTCCCACAGCGTGGCGTTTTCAAAACGAAAGACTGACTCCT